TGCTAATGAATTATCATCGATATCTGCATAATGTACTTAGATTAATTATGTTAATTGTCAACTTATCACTTTGACCATCGCATCCATGTATACAATATGTCTATCGAAGCCCAAAACATTACTGTTTGAATAATGTATACCGGTTAATGTATTTTCACGGTACGTTCTTTATCGCCTATATCCAGAATCGGTCAAAGGTGAGATGCTCTTTATATATTTCGTTCAATTCATGAAATTTATTTTGCGCAGAATTTTTTGAAGATTATATTTGTTATGTAGCGGAGGTGCCCAAGATTCAATAAATTTTTACTGCTAAATGTAAATCTACAAAAATCGTATTATAAATTATAATACACAATATTAATTATTCTCCTCTATGGGAGCATTTCTTTTGCTTATATGTTGAACTATATTTAATAATATATGTGTAAAAATGATACTACATTATTCGTTAAAATATTCTTTCCTTTAGAAAAATATTTTTACAAGTTTATATTTGATTTATTATTAAACATGACCTTATACATTTATTTCAATGAATAATTATTACTGTTCTTCCTCAAGTATACTAGCCATACTAGTCTATTAGTTTTCTCATTTAATAAAGGCAGTGGTGTCGCTTTTCATACGTAACTACGATGAAAAACGATGGCTGCGGAGTTCGGAGAGTGGCCAGCCCAGTGACCTTGCTATAATTAATGATTCCTTTATATTGCGGAGTGACTGCTTACAACAAGTTACTGTCATCAATTTACATCAAAATGATGATGGGGTTTCGTGTAAATTAGAAGTGATTAATATCATTATAACATTCAATTGAATTAGAAATGATAAATTCCGAAATTCGTAGTGCAGTGGTACACACGCTGCGTTGCGTAACAGTCGGCCAAAATTATGAAATGCACTTTGGTAAATTAACTCGAACCGTTGTTTTCAGTAGTCGTTCTTAGGAAAGTCGTATTTTCATTTATCTAGGATATTTCTTCAGGGGTTTTAAGAATTGAGGACGAAATTGTATAAATTAAATAATCTTTACATAGTATAAATTTAAGTCGATTTTAAATACACGCAATGGATTTTAATGCTGTTTCTAGCAATAGATAGTGGATAGATAATTTAAGAGGAAGGTTATATATGTACACCCGTATAATACATGTACACCCGTGCGAAATCGTGGTGGATAGGTAGTATAGAATTAAACACACATTTCTAAAATAAAATATTTTAGACACTTTGAGTGATTGGTCCTATTTGCAAATGCAAATCATTATTACTATTTTCTGCATTATGTACTCATTTTCTGCGATTCATATATTAATTTTATTTAAAACTAGCTGTTATCTGCGACTTCTGGACTTTTTTTAAATGAAAGTAGTCTAAGTTAATCCTTATAACATTAGCTATCTGCGAGTGAAACTCCCGTAAAAATCAGTCCAGATATTTTAGAGATTAGACATATAATTTCATCTACATTTCGTGAAAACTTGGTAGTTTGAAATAATAAAGAGACGCTTCAATTTTAGCTACTATCTAAAAGCTTCCTAAATTATCCTGTGTGTGTTCTGTAGTCATGTAGAAACATGATCAAAGATGTCCCCAAATTAAATGGTTTATAAATAGTTATCAATCATTAGAAACAAATATTTATAATGTTCGTATTTTACCGTAGAACGGCACACCTGGTATATAGAATGATTGATGCCACTATCAATTCTCACAAATTCAGAAAATCGTTTAATGTAAGTGGCAAACATCGAAGTAGGTAGACGGCCTCAGTGGTTTTGGTGATCGGTTTAGCATGCCGCTTTACTTGTGATGGTCGCGGGTTCGAATCCTCGCACAGTACCAATATTTGTATTCATGATTATGATTGTCTGTACCGGGTGTTTTCTATGTATATTTTGTATATAATAAAATATATAATTTATAATAATTTATACATGTTTTCTATGTATAAATTGTTTTACAATATATTTGTATAACAGATAGGATGTATGACAAAAAGGCCTACCTTTGTCTTAAAAAAAGAACGAAGTCGAGGGTAACTAATTAACTATAAAGTTTCTTGTGTAATATTAGATACCATTTTTATAAATATAAAGTTAATAAAAATTTGATGTATCGAACAGATAGATCATAATCTAATTAACTTGTGAGATTATTTTTACTGACATTACTCGAAATATTTACAGCTATCTATATTATAAAGATAAACACAAAGTATATATCCATATAAATACAAGATTAATGAAATGGTATTATTTAAACTTTAAGAAATAACGAAAATATTAAAATGTTATCGTACTTTGATCCTGCGCAAATGTTTTTTTTGTATGCAGATTTGACATTACTTTCATGACTTTAATGGGCAATAAATAAGCAATATGTTTTATAACATTCATACTGACAAATGAGTGAAAAGATTCTCATATATGTATAAATAACATACTTGTATCTAATGTTTACCTACATAACTACAATACACACTTTTGCTAATGGATTCTTATATACCCACACAAATATAAGGTATGTTTTACAGCTTTCATACGTTAGAAGCTGATTTTGTTTAAACTACGGTGCCAGAGGGCCTCTGAATACACACAGCAGTGCGTATATAATTTTTATATTCGGCGTGTTTGCTGAACAAACAGCAAGAATACTCACGAAGGGGAGCCGAAAGGACCGAAAACGTTTGATATTACGCTTCTCTACGATAATATGTACAATATTTCACCTTTGTATGTTTTAGCACAATGTGTTTCAGTTAGATGACGTTTTCGAATGTGTGTTCAGGCGTATGAAAGTATTGGTACGCGAAATAGCTGATAAAGTAGGCACTTTATACATTCAATTTTACTTTTCTGAATTCACTTATTACTCTACGGAAGTTTTTGTATATTGTTCAGATATTTTTATAAAGACTATGAAGCTGTTCAAACTATATTTATATATATATATATATTTACTTCAGTTTGGAGTAATCAGTAACTATTGAATTTTATACTTTTAAGCTACAAACTTTTTTTAAACGCTTCCGATTCTTTGAAGTATTAACTACATCCCGTAGCGATTCCCGAGTGATATCAGATAAAAAGAATTCTATGAGTTAATTTAGAGCATGATTCATATGTGTACCAAATCTCATTCGTATCCGTCTAGAAAATGTTACAGGAAAGAGTAAATAAACAGAATGCTCAGAAACTTTCACTTTTGCATATTAATATAATTATTCAATGTCTGTAGTTGTAGTTTTGTAGGCGATGGTGTTATTTCCTTGTTATACATTTGTGGTGAATTTACTCAAATCGGGCGGTAACACTGAATGTATATTCTCTTGTATTATATCTCATTTGTAAATACTTCTACAATATAAATATGTACATAGCTATAACCTGTCTAATCTCTTCATTATCCACTTCCTGATGCTGGTACAAGTGTAAAGGAATATCTAAACATAAATAATAGCGGTACCATAATAGTCGCTAAACATTCATATAATTAACATTAATATCATAAGTTTGAAATTTCTCAATTTCTTAGTTAACATAGGACCAAACTACCACATACAAAGAAGGGACTGACCGTGTAGGCTGGAGATAGGTATACAAAAGAGGCAGTTCCGGTAACCTTCAACAAACTCTCGCGTAGGCGATTCGGACTCGGACTTGATACAACTGACAGCGGGAAACTGATGACCATTCTTACTACACACTATTCACTAAAGAGGATACAGTTACAAGATGGACCGCTTTACTCACAACCCCTCAATCTAGATTAGTTAGTCTACAGAATAGTCTGTTTTCCAGCAATGGTATTTCCAAACCATTACGATATTGAAATCTTCAAGAAAGGAGTTTATTCGTTCTGAAGGAGTCGGTAACGCACTTGCAAGTTCCCTGGTGGTTCGGTTAGGTAGAAAGTACGTATGTCCCCTAAGCTATAAAAATTATATTACATTACATTGACGTGCATGACATATCACTATATCCCTCACACCATCTATTAAAAATACTAAATGCTAGGGGAGAAATACGATTGTTACTAATAGACTGTTTACCCTATTGCTAGTATACTATAGTATAGTATAGTAGTATAGTAGAATATACTATGTTAGGTTGAGCTTCGTGCGGTTCATTTGGTTAACATCCTAGGTCTTGGTTCATCAGCGTAATCCGTTAGCGCATGTGGGGAAGGAGATTGTCAGTAATATGGATTGATGATCTTATTGCTAACAATGTACCATGTCAGATTGACCTCCACGCGTTTCCTGCTGGAAACCATCATGATAAATTCTTGATGAATTTGTCACGATGGGCTAACTAACCTGACTTCATGTTCATCTTATCATCTTCCACTGGTGTCCCGCCAGCGTAAACCGTTAGCGCAGGCGGGTGCACCAGTCCATTTTTATTCCATCCATTAAAAAATATACTATACAAACTAACTATAAAAATCTATATGCTCGTATATAATATTTGCCGTGTGATAAATGATAATATACGTCTATTCTCATGATACTCTATAATGTGACTAACTTCACGACAAATGTTATTATCCATTGAGTACTTTAATAATGTAAAGGTATCAAATAGAGTAGACAGATAAAGAGATGGTAATAATAAACAGACAGACAATATTATTAATAACTAACTAATGAAATTTAACATTTATTAAGTTTATTTGAATAAATCCCAAAATTTATAATTAATTACATTAATAATACTTAACAAATACTTATTAGATTAAAGGAGACAAATTATAGATATATTTATAAAACTTAAAAAAGTACTAATTGAAATATAAAATTATTATATTACTATAGTATCCCTTTCAGACCTGAGCTATACGGGCGTAAGTTGTAACTTTAAAAAATTCTAAAACCGCGCACGTTTCATTTTTACACACGAAGCCGAAATAACATAACAGCGAGTTTCTAAACCAGCCAATAAGAAATCATTTTAGCGGTTAGGTGGTGCAGTAGTCTCGTGCGTGCCGGAAAGATGGCTTGGCTCCTTGACCCCCGAACAGGACGCAGTAAGTTGTATTGAAATTATTTACTATTTTGTGTTTTTTCTTTCATATTATCGTTTTATTATATACTTAATAGATTATGCTATTAGAAATATGTAAAATTAGGACTAAAATACTACTAATTATAAATATATTGCATTGTAAATTTCTGATAGTACGATCGTGAGCTCTGGGTTGTAATTGTACTTACGCACGATGGTGATCTTGTTTATTTTTTCTTAATATTTTGTTTTTTTTAGGATTACCGTTAACTGACGACCTCGTACTAAGCTTGTTGGAGGATGGCAACTGCTCGGATCTAGAATTAGATGATGCCGATGAGGAAGAATTTGTCCCACCGGTGGCGGAAAATGAGGTAACTGCATCAGACAAAGAATTTGGCGTTCCTGAACTCACACCTTCACAACTAGGCGTAAAAAGAAGTGCTACTAGCCTTCAAGATAATGCGGAGGCAGGTCCGTCCAAAAAACGAAAAAAACCGGTAAAAATAGAAATTCCTCGGCGTAAACGCATTTGGAAAAAAACTGAGTTTATCGATACATTTCACGAATACGTTGGCCACCCAGAACCGAACATAGTTCGGTCGCCTATTGAATATTTTAGTGAATATTACAATGATGATTTTTTTGAACAAATGTCAGTCTGTACAAATATGTACTATACGAGAAAAACTGGCAGGATATTAAACTGCACTAAACCAGAAATTAAAAAATTATACGGTATTCATCTAATGATGGGAATTTTATCTTATCCTAGAATTGCTATGTATTGGAGGCAAAAAATTTGCATTGAAGCAATAGTGTCTGCAATGACCAGAGACCGATTTATGTTGCTGCGTAATAATCTACATGTAGTGGAATCAGATACTCCGCCGGCTGGTTACAGGGTTAATCCTCTCTGGAAGGTACAACCAGTAATTGACGCAGTAAAACAAGGATGTAATAAAATCTTAAGAACACCTGGTAGGTTTTCTGTCGACGAACAAATGATCCCTTTCACAGGAAAGTGCCACCTTAGGCAACTACTGAAAAATAAACCGCGCCCAGTGGGTCTTAAAAATTTTGTTGTTACCACTAATGAAGGGCTAATGATAGATTTCGAAATTTATTATAGGAACAATCCTGTACTTTCGCACCCCCTTGGACTTGGACCGGCTGTAGTTTTCCGCCTTATTCAGAGTGTTCCTCCTGGAAGCTGTATCTTTTTTGACAGATACTTTACTACCATTCCTTTGTTGGACGAACTGAAACGACTTGGATATCATGGGACAGGGAAAATCATGGTCAATCGTATTCCAGAACGACAACAGATAAGCTTCAAAGAAGACAAAACGATGCGAAGGGGAGACATTGACCAAAGAGTGTCCAATGGCATAGTTTTGGTGAAATGGAAGGACAGTAAAGCAGTTCTTACGACGTCAAACTGTACTGGTGGTACGGCGATAAATAACATAAAACGATACGATAAGATCGCGAAATGCTACATCGATGTTGACGCTCCAAAAATTGTAACGTTTTATAATACGTTCATGGGTGGAGTTGATGTCCTAGACCAATCTATGGAGTACTATAGGACATATATGAAGACGCGTAAGTGGACTTTAAAAGTAATACTCCATTTTATGGACTTAGCTGTAGTAAACGCTTGGCGTCTTTACAGATGCGATTCCTTAGCCAAAGGTATTCCAAAAAATCGTATTCAGGATTTACTTGCATTCAGGTTTGAAATCGCTGAAACTTTTATGAACACCCCTGATAGAGACCGTCTCCAATCAACTCCTTTAGTTGAACTACAAGTAAATCTGTCAAGCAGATATAGACCAGCAAAGAATCCCTCGATCGGAATGAGATATGATGGCTATGATCACTTGCCTGTATTTGATGATATAAAAGCTCCACGTAAATGTCGATTGGAGAGTTGTTCCTCTCGTTCTAAAATAAGATGCCGTAAATGCAATGTTTACTTGTGCCTTAGTCGCGACAAAGACTGTTTTAACCTTTACCATAATAAATAACACCTATAACTACTATGTCTTAAATTAAGTTCCTGATTAAAGACTGAAAAAAATTTGTTGTAAAAGATTTATCTTGTTTTGTTTTTTTGTCTAAAGGACGTTTTGTTTTTGTTTAATACATTTAAGTAAAATATAAGCTAAAATTGACATTTAGTACTCTACTGATTTGTAAAAGAATATTTGAATGTTTTTGTTCTGAAAATTAAGTTAATTGTAACTTGACTGTGATTTATAAAATACAAACTAATGAATAACTTCTGTGATTAATTTGTAGTTTTATTTCTATCGCTAAGTGAATATAAGAAAAAAAAAAACTTGCTTACGTAAATAAATATTTTTACACTTAAAATCAAACCTAATATACATAATATCTAGCATAATACATACTGAAGCAATCCTAATATATCGGGCTAATGACTACTTCCTAAACCATCCATATAACTATGAAATTTTTTATTTATTTTTATTTTAACTTTGAAGTCACGATCGTACGTAGGTGGAAGTGAGACCTAGAACTCACGATCGTGATATGTACTTTTAAGAACTATGGTTTGGTATAGAATTTTTTAATTATTTTTTTCGTAAAATACGAGAGTTATTTCAGCATAAAACACGAAAATATGTTTTATATGAAAGAAAAAAAATCTTGGGTCTGAAAGGGGTATATATAAACGCTGTTCACCGTAACTTGCTGCGCCGAACAGCGTCCATAGTGCTCTTTTAATAATATTATATCAACCCTTATTGTAAAAAAACAAATGAATAAACAAACAAATAAATAGAACGCTTCAAGTGTTAGCTTTTTTATTTTGTATATGACCTACTTATTGTCATCTCGAACAGAAAACACCTGAGGACAGTCCACTAGGGAGCGATCCGGTTTCGCTTCAGTCGGCGTATTCCATTCGAATTCAGACCCTTTATTTCGTTGCGGTTTATCCCTTTTCATTCTACTGGGGGCTTGGATTAAACTTTTTAGAACACTCTATTATATGTGACATAAAAGGGTGTCTCTCAATGTTATGCAAATAAATTTAGGAGAAAAAATACGAGTGACCAAGCTAATATGACATATCACACCATTACGTGTTGTTTCAAACACAATTTTAAAACAACTATTTATATATTATTTAGCAATGTATCTAAATTATTTGAATATTTTTTTTCTTAAATTACTAGACCTTTTCCTTGTATATGTAGTACTTCTACATATACAAATATTTATATTTTAATTCTGTATATATTTTATAATAATAACAGGGTACCCAAAAAAAGATAGCGTATATGTACTTTTATGGATGCGTTAATCAATTATCCTTACTAACTTATTATCTGTCTGTCTGTCATTCTCACTTACACGCTAAAACTACTGAACCGATTTAAATGAAATTTGCTACACATTTAGTCTAGGCCCTGAGAAAGGACATAGGCTACTTTTGAATGCGATAGAAGGGTTATAAGGGGTTGAAAAAGTTATGTATGGAAGTGTCGTCATTTTTTAAGATGAAACGATGAAACTTTTTCATTTGGATTTAATTTGGTTAGGTCATTAAATATTTTTTTCATTATTTGAGCAAGGTCACTATTTTCGCGGACGAAGTCGCGGGTACAGCTAGTCTAGTATGTAGTACAAACTATGATTAGAAATACTTTTTTCTTACCAAATTATTTTTACATCCCCTGTTTTTATTTTATCAGTATTATTAATGAGATGAGATGCATGCTTCATTATGGTAATCAATGATCAAAATTGAATCGCTCTTCTATTATTCCGCTCAAAACCAATACCTAAGTTAATTGATTCGACATGTTTTCATCGCAAATAATGAAGGCGGCCGCAGCGAATGCGAACAGATGCGGAGGGCCCCCGTAATGAGGACAACCACAGGCCCCACCCGCCCGGCCTACTTTCCGTGCATTTATGACTTCATTCAGGCATAGTAAATTTACTAGAATTCTAATCACCTGCTAGGAAAATATAATAAAAATAATAAAATATTTATGCGACTAAAAAAGGTACTTAATGAAGATGAAATCAGGAAACGACAGCAGCACAAGGAGACTCAGTTTCGTTATAATAATTCAGCGCCATCTAGTACCAAACTTCAAAACTAAAACTAAAGCAGAGCTTCTGTTATAGGTGTTAGACAACAGATCGATGACATATATGATATACATAGGAAACACTCAGAGCAATAGAAATAATTGTATCATGAGATGAGCCAGCGACCATCGGAGGTGAAAGGCCGACAACGTACTTGCAATTCCCTTGGCGTTGCGGGTGCTCATGGGCGGCGGTAATTACTTACCATCAGATAAGCCTATGCTCGTTTGTCTCCTGTGTTGTAAAAAAAATGTATAATTGATGTTATTGTATGTATCATTATTGTATATATGTATGTATGTGCATGCGTGTATGTGAACACAGATTATAAATATTTAGTTATTGCATGAGTATCTGTGCGATAGTGTAATGTTTGTCAATTCATATTTTCTTTCTTTCTTTATTTCTTTAGTATTCCATTTACATAATAAACGAAAATAATTCACACAGAACTATCTAATCTCGAACTGAGCACAATTTATACTATAAAAGCTGAATAACTGAAAAATTGACAGTAACACATAAATATACACAATCATATTCATTAATACAAATGAAATGTGCGAGAATTAAACTAGCGAGCGCTCATTGGAAGCATAATATCGTGGCCGCTACGCCTGGCCGTCTAGCCATAAATTTGTTCATGTTTTGTTGGTAATAAATGTGTTCCTTACAAAAACGTACGACTGGCGTTATTCAAGTGCACATATTATTTCAGCCCCTGCCCTTGGCCGTATGCGCAGTTAGTATGCGATACGCGCGTATCACGACCCTTGTTCAGGCAATATCCTTCAGGAGGTCACGGGTGATGTCAGAAACGCTTAATCACAATGGACTAGATATAACCACAGATAACATAATATTACATAATATAACTATGTAAGGTTATATTATATTGTCTTCTATTAAAAATAATATCATTTAAATATAGCCGTTGTTCAAATATATATATATGATTAAATAGAAAAAAATTAAAAGTAGACGCTAAGATTTCATAGTCAAATTTATAATTTATTCTGAAACGTGTGATATACACAAATTGTTGTACCTGTAGCGATGCATTTACAGGACTTATAATTTCGTATTTATATCTGCTTAACTTTTCACTACAATAACGTAAACTAAATGTCATTATATATAAACACGTAATAGATACGTATTTGATGACTTTCGGAATTACAATTCAATAAAAATAAAATTAAGGTACCTAATATTCTGAATTTTAAAATATATTAGAAGATGTTTAGATGTCATTGATCTGAACCGCCGAACATATAAATATTCCAATATTATTATATATTTATGATATTAATAGAAAATAGTGCATATTGCCGCCTCTATATTGAAATTTATCACTAAAAATCACTTGAGTTTTCGATTAGACGCACAATGCCTCCCATACGCCGCCATTATCGGCGTCCACTTCTGGTCACATACGTGCGTAGACTATCCAACTATCGACATTGAAGATCAACCCCATTACAAGGCCATTACGGACCTTTATTACGTCTTATGTGACTGAGCACCTTTTTTGTGGCAAGCTGCTGTTAGATTATACCATGATACATTTTCCCATTAAATATCTGGTAATATTTTTATGTCATTTTTTATTTCTAGTGATCGCCCAGTGGTCAAAAATTCGACCATAATTCATTTAACATTCAGTAAGGCTGTAGAGAAATAATATATATGGGTACCTACTTTATTGCACTTTAAATACAAGTTTGAATATAAGTTACAAATTTTGTTTGCAAAGGAGGACCTATCTCTAAGAGAGATCTCTTCCAGTCAACCAAAACAGCGTGACACTGGAAGTAGTGATTGGGTCACAGGAGTGCAAATAATAAAAATAAGAAAAGATAAAATAAACTAGTATCGTACTACCGTAGACTTTAAAATAAACAAAAGAGTATATATGCGTGTTTGTCAAATACATGGTAGTTTGTGTAATGATTTTTTTATTGACTTCATGTATTTTTATACATTTTATACATTTTTAAATATATATTAGCATTCTGCTTCTATATAAACTACAAGTATGCGAAATTTCATACTCCTCCGTCCGCGCAATGTTGGTAGGTAGAAAGTTATTGCTTCACTTATTAATATATAGATTCTTTTTTGTAATGACAATAAAACCTATTTTACAATAAAAACTATAAGTGTGAATGTCGGCAGCGGCAATCTTGGTCTCTGAAATCTCTTTCGCTAATGACCAATTATAAACAATGGACGAATAAATCACTAGGTAATTTGTTTACTAGTTTTTAATTCAAAAAATTGTATAGCATCAGCGTTATATTTTCTAAAATAATGTCGTTTGATAATGACAAACTATGAGGACTTCTTATAATAGGTATTGTACAGAATCTACAATACGATTAGGATTAACTAGTTTTTAAAGAGCTGAAATAAAAGTTTAACATTAAAATTTATGTGATTATGCGCTATTCGTTAAATTGTATTCACATAAATTCATAAACATGTAAAATTGTACATGTTTAACTTTGTAACTTCCGTTTGAATAGAGGACCAGCGGAATCATTTGTACATTCTTTTCGACTGAATCTGCCTTTCAAATGTGGCGATAGAGAGAAAAATAAGTACTATTCAAACGTCGAGATGCGAGATAATCACCATATGATTATTTCTAAACCCTAACCTAACCCTCCCAATTTCATCTGTATCACATTTTCCTCGATTTTTTTTACACACATACATAACATTAACATTAATACACCGCTATTATTGATCGTAACATGATGTTATATAGTCTGTAGAGATTTCATGAAACATGCTATCCAACACCTAACGAATTTTTCAATTTA